GATTTTTTTTTTTTTTTTTTTTTGGTGGCAGGCTGGTAAGGGGATCTGAACCCTTGACCTTGGTATTACCAACACCATGCTCTAACTAAATGAGCTAACTGGACAATGCTAGATTGTCTATCTGATCAAGCCTCTGACCTGCAGAGGTATAGTGGGTGGGCTACAGAATCTTCCTGATTTCCCCCACCAGCATTTCCTGGTGAATAACAGATGTGTAATATTGTAAGTGGTATGGAGGACATAGAGATTTTGGTCCCAGTAGTTCAAAATCCAGTGAGGCCATCATGACTAAAGCAGAGTACATATTTCTCATTGTACACACACCTTGAGTTCACAACAGAGATGGACAAAAGGGAAGGAGGAAAACTAAGCCTTTCATTCCAACATTTTCACCCTCCTACAAATTATATTTACTTAACTGAAACCTCCTTCAACTTTAGCACTACCTATGTCCCTTGTTGGTCAATTATGTGACAGACGACTTTGTTGAAACCGAAATGGGCCATTCACAGTGTAACAGCTATACACATGACATACTTTTAAGTTTCATTTGCATTATTGATATTTTCTCCAACACTTTCTTAATCTAGACAGCAAACAAAGAATAAGCCAAGTCTTGATTTGAAGCATTTGCCCATATCCAGATTTCTGTGATGTAAGTATTCCCACCATGGCTGATTACCTATATGAAGTCACTGAAGTCATGAAGTTGGAAAGAGATGTGCAGTAGCACACGTTTATATATTATTTCAACCACATAGAGACAACAGACACAACCTCAAGAGCAGAGGTAATAGAAAAATGTAGTAAATTAGGAATTGATGAGTTTTGAGCATAATAAATAAACCTTTTAATAATATGATTGTTAGGTTTTAATAATGGTGATATTTAAAAATGTCTTTCAAAATTCCTAAAAATTTAACAACTGAGCTCTCATGAGTCCTTTTGATCAGGCTGCAGTGTACTACTAAACTTATTCATGTTGTTGCCTGTATTAGTTTGTTCATTTTTATTGCTGTACAATATCCCATTGTGTGGATAAACCACAATGTTTTTCACTGCTGTGATTTTTGTCATTTAGGTAATATAATATAAATCATACAGTACATAATCTTCTGTGATTGGCTTTTTTCACTCACTAATTTTTTTAGAGATTCATCCAGATTGTTGGATATATCAGTAGTTTGTTTTCCTCTTGTTGCAGAGTAGTATTCCATGGTATGGGTATATTAAAGTTTGTTTAACCATTCATCCATTGAAGGACATCTGTATCGTTTTATGTTTTGGGCTATTATGAATAAAATTGCTGTGAACATTTATGTACAAGTATTTGTGTGAGCATAAGTCCTAATTTCTCTGCAACAAACGTCCAGAAGTGCAGTTGCTGGGTTATTTGGTAGTTGCATGTTTAGTATTTTTTTAAGAATCTATCAAACTTTTCAGAGTAGCTGTAGTGTTTTACATCCCCACCAGCAAAATATGAGTGATCCAGTTTCCCTGCATCCTTTCCACCATTTGGTGTTTGTCACTGCCATTCTAATAGGTACAAAATAATTTCTCACTGTGGTTTTAACTTGCATTTCCCTAGTGGCTAATGGTGTTGAACGTTCTTTGGTCAAATATCTCTTTATGTCTTTTACCATGTTCTGACTGCTATTTTTTCTGTTCAGTTTCAATTGTTCTTTACATATTCTAGAAACTAGTCTCATCAGATGTGGGTTTTCAGATATTTTCTCCTAGTCTTTAGCTTGTCATTCTATCCTCTTAACAGTATCTTTCATGAAGCAAGAGTTCTAAATTTTATCGAAGTTCAATTTATCAGTTTTTCCTCTTACGGACCATGATGTTGGTGTCAAGTCTTAGAACCCTTTGCCCAACACTAGATCCTGAAAATCTTCTCCTGTGTTTTTTTCTAAAAGTTTTATAGTTTTGCATTTAACTTTTAAATCCACGATTCATCTTTAACTTGTATACAAGTTATGAGACTTAGGTCAAGGTTTTTTTTTTTTTTTTTTTTTTTTTTTTTTTTTTGTTTGTTTGTTTTTACTTTTGCTTATGGATGTCTAACTTTTCCAGCACCATTTGTTGAAAAAGCCATCTTTCCTCCATTGAATTGCTTTTGCACCTTTACCAAAAAAAAACCAGTTGGCATATTTGTGTGGATCTATCTATTTGTGTGTTGTCTGTTTCATTGATTTATGTGTCTATCTCTCTGTCAATATCACAGTCTTCATTACTGATTATATATTACTGATTATATGATAATTCTTGAAATCGAGTAGATTTTTTCCTTCAACTTTATTCTTTTCAAAATTGCTTTAGCTATTCTAGTTTCTTTGCCTTTTAATATAAATTTTAAATAATTTTGTCTGTGTCTACAAAAAGTCTTGGTAGGATTTTGAGAGGTATTATTTTAAACCTGTATCTTAATTTGAGGAGAATTGAAATCTTTACTATGCTGTATCTTCTGGCCCATGAATATGGTATGTCT